ACTCTGTACTTCGTCCACTTACTCTCCATGCCTACCTACAGTGCCTGTGGCCGTTACCGGCCAGTCAAAGAGGGAGCCGTCCAATGAAGAGAGCCAACCATCGACGATTGGAGAAGCTAACCAACGGGTGTGCAGACGGAATACTGGAAGGTAAGACTCTGTACTTCGTCCACTTACTCTCCATGCCTAACTACAGTGCCTGTGGCCGTTACCGGCCGGTGAAAGAGGTAGCTGTCGATTGAGGAGAGCCTACAAACGCCGATAGGGTAGGTTAACCAACGAAGGCGCAGACGGAAGACGGGAAGGTATGACTGTGTACTTCGTCCACTTAGTCACCATGCCTACCTACAGTGCCTGTAGCCGTTAACGGCCGGTAAAAGAGGGAGCTGTCGATTGAGGAGAGCCAACCATCGATGATTAGAGAAGCTAACCAACGAAGGCGCAGACGGAAGACTGGAAGGTAAGACTCTGTACTTCGTCCACTTACTCTCCATGCCTAACTACAGTGCCTGTGGCCGTTACCGGCCGGTGAATGAGGTAGCTGTCGATTGAGGAGAGTCAACCATCGACGATTGCAGAAGCTAACCAACGAAGGCGCAGAGGGAAGACTGGAAGGTATGACTCTGTACTTCGTCCACTTACTCTCCATGCCCACCTACATTGACTGTGGCCGTTACCGGCCCGTCAAAGAGGGAGCTATCGAATGAAGAGAGCCAACCATCGACGAATTGAGAAGCTAACCAACGAAGGCGCAGACGGAAGACTGGAAGGTAACACTCTGTACTTCGTCCACTTACTCTCCATGCCCACCTACAGTGCCTGTGGCCGTTACCGGCCGGTCAAAGAGGGAGCTGTCGATTGAGGAGAGCCTACAAACGCAGATTGGATAAGCTAACCAGCGAGTACGCAGGCGGAAGACGGGAAGGTATGACTGTGTACTTCGTCCACTTAGTCACAATGCCTACCTACAGTGGGATAGAAACAACTGAATATACATCTGAATTGCGTCTTGGTTAAGAAGGCATCTTTTACACAAGATTTGCTTCAACGAGCCTTGCTGTCTTCGGCCCCTTACTTTGAGGATAATTTGAACTCCAACATTGCGTGTTCAAATTCCCTGTAGGAGGTCGTTTACTAAATTGTCGGTTCAGTAAATTTTATGGAATTAAATTGAAAATATTGTTTTGTCTGAAGATGAGTGGTTGGATAGGTGTCCCAAGGTATCATAACAGACAGAAGAATATCACATTTCCTACAATTTGAGTGACCGAAGAAAAGCCCTGCACACTATTTATAACCGTGCGCGTTTCATAAGTACTCAAAGTAGCTCATCCAATTTGATCCCATGACCTGGATATTGCGTATTTTACGAGGGCTACAATCATTCTCTCTGGCGAGAAAAAAAAATTGGCATTTTTGCGCTTTAGTCAGTTTGCCCTGCGGTCAAAATATCAAAGGGTTCATTCAGTTGAACAGGTGTGTATGTCAGTGTCCTGACAAGGCCAGACTGGTAATTCAAAAACTGTTTGTCAAATCATATAGTAGGCTAATTAATCTAAAGTGGTATATAAAACGAAATTGTTTATGGCGTTCATACAAGAATGAAGCTCCTAGCGGCAATTTTGCTTTTGTTTCAGCGTACGGAGTGCTGCTTTTTTAAAAGGGGTAAATGCATTTTTTTACTTTTTCTGCTAACTATACTGGTACATAAGTGATATGGCAAATAGTGCGTGTAAAATTTCAGGAAATTTTAATTTTCTGGTTTTGAAATTCGATCTAATGAAGTGTGTGCATGCTTCATGTGTACAGTTTGACTCCTTGTATATGAGCACGTCATTGGTATATCAGGAGACTTAACCAAAGGTCATTATATATATATACATATATTATCAGTACATGTCTTTATGGGAGATGAATTTGATGGATTATCATATGCTAAAACCCTGAAACCGAATTAATGAAGCAGTGCAAATTGAACTGTTGTATCTATACGAACAATTAACTCATTTAAAATGATTTAAATATAAGAAATCTCAATCTGTAATTAAAGATTTCTGCAAATGAATGTAGACGAATTATGTTCGTTGCGCAGTTGCTAAACAATATGTAAATGACCAATTTTGTGTTAGTACCTAGTGGACGAAGACCATGGATTTTTCTGCAATCCTGAAAACTGTAGGACGTTTGCCCAGGACAAATTAGGCCTTTGATATACAACCTAATCAGGTGGCCTATCACTGCATGTACATTCAAATCCAACAACATTCAGCGTATAAATAATTTTAAGTGGTTTTTCCTGCCAACCGTGTTGTCGGCAAATTTCATTGTAGGTTACCTAAATTAATTACAGTTTTATCATGCGTATTTTGTTTCCAGATGTAACAAGTTGTCCGCGTACTAACCATGACGTAATTCTCAATGATGTTGCCGAATATCTGGCTCGAACAGCTAATTACCATGGATTTCAGAAGATTGTAAAAAATAAAAAATGGCTGTTGTACTTCATAACTAGAATCCGCTTGGAGTCCTTGACATTCGACTGCACATATTTACGGGACGAACGGTCAGAGGAGTACTTCCAGTACGCATGCACGGCTCCGATCTCTAACGCCGAAGTTACCATAGTAAGACAAGTAAGATAAGGAAGTATTATCCTCAATTATCTCTGCAAAATGCAAGCTTAATGCTATTTTCCTCATGTATCCAACCTCTTTTTTACTCCAAACAAATTACAGGACAAACGGAGCTTCAAATCAAAGAGGCCGAGGGGCGAAAGGAGTACCGCCAGATATTTTACTTTCAAGTTACACACTCTAGGACTGAGGGCAATTGTCGATCTTACTTACTGGAAAGTGCAGAACAATAGCAAAAATAAAATTCGACTGTCCTCTCTGAAGCTCTGCAATGCGTG